TCCTGATATTCTACCGTTTCTCACCCATTTCATCAACACTTCTCTAACTTCTGGTCACTTTCCAAACAGTCTCAAGGAGGCAAGAGTAAACCCTCTCCTAAAGAAACCCACTCTCAACCCGTCTGATGTTATAAACTACAGGCCTGTCTCTCTCCTCCCGTTCCTGTCTAAAACACTTGAACGCGCTGTCTTTAAACAACTCTCCTGTTATCTACATCAGAACAACCTTCTGGATCTGCACCAGTCTGGTTTCAAGGCAGGTCACTCCACAGAAACTGCCCTCCTTGCTGTCACTGAGGAACTGCACACGGCTAAAGCAGCCTCCCTCTCCTCTGTCATCATCCTTTTGGACCTGTCTGCTGCATTCGACACAGTGAATCATCAGATCCTCCTTCGCACTCTCCAAGAACTTGGAGTTTCAGGCTCTGCACTTTCCCTCATCACCTCATACCTCAAAGACCGCACCTACAGGGTTACTTGGAGAGGGTCGGAGTCCGACCCTTGTCAATTAACTACAGGGGTCCCTCAGGGCGCTGTTCTTGGTCCCCTCCTCTTCTCCTTGTACACAAACTCGCTCGGATCAGTCGTATGGTTTTTCATACCACTGCTACGCTGACGACACCCAATTAATTCTGTCCTTTCCCCGCTCAGAGACCCAGGTCGTCGCACGCATCTCTGCTTGTCTAGCTGACATCTCTCAGTGGATGTCTGCTCACCACCTCAAGCTCAACCTTGACAAGACTGAACTGCTTTTCCTTCCGGGAAAAGATTGTCCCACTCTTGACCTAACAATCAACATCGGCACCTCTGTTGTTTCCCCGACTCAGACTGCAAGGAATCTGGGTGTGATCCTAGATAACAAACTGTCCTTCACTGCAAACATAGCTGCTACAACCCGCTGCTGCAGATACACGCTTTACAACATCAGGAGGATACGTCCCCAACTGACCCAGAAAGCGACGCAAGTTCTGGTCCAGGCTCTCGTCATCTCACGCCTAGACTACTGCAACTCCCTCCTGGCTGGTCTACCTGCATGTGCCATCCGACCTCTGCAGCTCATCCAGAATGCAGCTGCTCGTCTGGTCTTCAACCTTTCTAAATTATCCGACACCACGCCGCTCCTCCGCTCCCTTCACTGGCTTCCGGTAACTGCTAGAAACCACTTCAAGACAATGGTACTTGCGTACCATGCTGCGAATGGATCTGGCCCTTCCTACATCCAGGACATGGTTAAACCGTACACTCCAGCACGTGCACTACGCTCTGCATCAGCCAAACAGCTCGCTGCACCCTCACTGCGAGGGGGACCCAAGTTCCCATCAGCAAAAACACGTGGGTTTGCTATCCTGGCTCCAAAATGGTGGAATGAGCTCCCCATTGACATCAGGACAGCAGATAGCTTACACATCTTCCGACGCAGACTGAAAACTCATCTCTTTCGACTCCACTTCGAGCGATAGAACTATTAACAAAACACTTATATACTAATAAAGCACTGGCTTATCTAAAGCCAGTTGAGTAGCACTTTAAATGTTTTTGCTCTATGAAACCTGATGTACTTATATGATTCTGTTTTCTTCAAGTTTGTATTTTGTTGGTCGAACGCACTTATTATAAGTCGCTTTGGATAAAAGTGTCAGCTAAATGAAATGTAATGTAATAATGGGCCCCTCCTTCTGATTTCCATAGCCAATAAGTTCAACGTTTCTGTAACCAATCAGTGAAGAGTAAAGCCAGAACAAAGCAATTTGTAGATGAAAAGTTCCTGACATTGTGAGGCTGTGCTGTGAATTGTACATTATTCCAGATTCAGGGGACTAAGTATTCATTTGCCTTTGAATATAATCAATATATCAATATAACCTGCCTTCATTGTCTTTTAAAAATAAAATCGCCTTAACCCTCTGGAGTGTGAAGTGAAGGGTATTTTCTTGATTTTTAGATGTCTCCTTAAATCAACTTTTAAATGTACTTCTTATAACATGGCACCCCATGTGTTACATATCAAAATGTTCAGGACAGTCTCTGGTCTTAGAAATGCAAGTCACTCACCTTAGAGCACTGTCTTATGAGATACTTAGCTGAAAATGAGAAATCCGATTTTTGGAAAACTTCAAAACTCTTGTGAAAACACAGATTTACTCATGTCATCAATTTTTGTTGGTGTTTCAGATTTTGTTTACCAAAGTCTTTGGTTCACAAAAGTAGTGAAATATATGAATTACACTATAGGCCTATATAAATGTGTTATTCATGTCTAAAATTAAAATGTGAAAATTATAATTTGGAGTAAAATAGTTCTATCACTCTACTTTCACCACAGAAAAGTTACATCAGGACTGATTCATGACTTCATATTCCATACCAAGGTTCATGTGATGTGTACAAATACAAATTGAGCATTACAACTTTTTCAACCAACTATTTATGTTAACAGAAGAAACTGTAAAATCTCAATATTTAAAATATCAGAACTTTTTAACCAACTATTCATTATAAATGTAAAGACGGGGAGTAGTGTCATCGTCTTTGTCTGTCTTCCAAGACAGTGGGTCTGGCTGCTGTGTAGGTGGGGGTGATGGTGCATGGGCTGCTGGTGGCTGTGTTGGAGGGAGGTAGGTGTGACTGTCCCGGGTTGATGCTGGTGGCTGTGTGGGAGGTACATGTGCTAGGCGGGACTTCTTTGCTGGCTGGGTTGATCGTGATGGCTGTGGTGGAGGCCTTTGTACCGAGGTGTATCTTAATGGGGAGGTGGGACAGGAGTCTCTCTCTCTCTCTCTCTCTCTCTCTCTCTCTCTCTCTCTCTCTCTCTCTCTCTCTCTCTCTCTCTATCTCTATCTCTCTCTCTCTCTCTCTCTCTCTCTCTCTCTCTCTCTCTCTCTCTCTCTCTCTCTCTCTCTCACACACACTCTCTCTCTCTCACACACACCCACACACACAGGTATTTCCAGTTATGTTACATTAAGTCTAAAATCAAAGGCACAAATATAAATACATCTATATGTGTGGGACAAATAAAAGTTTATGTTATTCATCTACACATGTTACCTCACTTTTACACACAGAAATAACTTTTACACAGAGTAAACGTTTACTAACGGAGAGTATATTTAGTCACAAGAGAAAGTTCATGACTATCGATAACAAAAAAGTTATCGATAAACCTATTGTTCATTTTCGCGGTATTCCCCATGTAACCCCTGTGTTATGTGTGATGGATCACTCTGAGATTGTCAGGAACAGCTGCTTTATTCCATCTTCAATTCCATGGCAGAGGACAAACGAATAAAAAGGACACTGTTATGTTGTGCATCACGTTCCATTAGCTATCCTCAACGGATTGATGATTACCCATAATCCACTGTCATGTCTGTGCAATGCAGGTACACATTTACGACACTAGAAGGCGTAGTTTTACCATTTAGCAGGATTTTACTACAACCTATTTAAAGTCCTCTACGTGTGCCGTTTTGGTTTCAAGACCCTGGTTCACGGAGGACACCAAAAAAAGTCTAAGAAAAGACAACTTAAACTTAACTAATGTGCATTTAAAGAAAAGAGGAATAGTTTTGGTGAAAACTAAAAAAGGTACCATGGGGTACAGAAATTAGTTTTGGTTTCAAGACCCTGGTTCACGGTGGATACCAACAAAGTCCTGGAAAGACAAGGTAAACTTAACTATTTGCATTTAAAAATAACAAAGAGGAATAGTTTCGGAGAAAACTAAAAGGTACCATGGGGTCAGATTATAATTTTCCAAAGGGGGGTTCGTTCAGATGTGTGTATCTCACACTGCACTGTAACTGCAATTCATGTATCTTTGCTTTTAAACGAGTGTTTTTAAATGCCATTTTATATCATTGCTTTTAAATGAGTGTTTTTAGATATCATTTCATAATATGTTTCTTAAATGCTATTAATGTCTTTCATTTTTGTAAAGCACTTTGAATTGCCTTGTGTTGAAATGTGCTATATAAATAAACTTGCCTTGCCTCAAATGACAATGTTGCAGGTGAATCTCCTGCCTAAGGTATGACTTTTTTAAAAGTGTACATTATAAAATAAAAAAATGTTTAAAAATACCAATCACAAACCAATAAAAGTAGCCTATATGAATATGCTGTGCCCATTGGCTGTTCCATATAATCTGCCCTACATACTAAAACAACTTATGTCCTCCCTTTAGAGAGCCTGCTTTAACATAGGTTTACTACAATGATTGATGTGTTAATTTAAACCACCTATGAGATAGGCTTTAATGAAAGAGCATGGAATAAAGAAGATGAGAGATGTGGGGATATAAATCCAGCTCAGTTTAACTCATTAATTCCCTCTGTGTCCAATGCTCTGACCTTTAGGCCCTCAATAGATCATATCACTCTGACACCATTAACTGTGCTTGCATGATTTTATGGTCAACAATCATGATACATGTCCAGCTGAAAAGGCCATATGTAAAGGTTAATACTCCTGAATAAAGAGCAGTGTGTGTGTGTGTGTGTGTGTGTGTGTGTGTGTGTGTGTGTGTGTGTGTGTGTGTGTGTGTGTGTGTGTGTGTGTGTGTGTGGCCTAGCAACTTGTGGGGACCTACATCTGTTTACACAGTCACGTGTGGGGACTCGCCTCCCTTATGGGGACAAATTGGAGGTCCAAATGCATGTAAGTCAATGTAATGTCCCCTGAAGTGATGTATACATGGTATGTGTGTGTGTGGGTGTGTGCGTGTGTGTGTGTGTGGGGGGGGGGGGGGGGGGGGGGGAGGAATAGGCAGGCATGGATAGAGTTTCTTCCGGTAACGGATCTCTCTGACCACCGATTCAGTTTCTCCTCCTCAGTGACGCCCTACGAGGAACAACAATACGTGTCCTTTATCTGAGTAGGCTTATATTATATTTTTCTTTTTATAAACTTCAGACTAAACTCATGGTGATCGCCGAGTGTGCGTGGCGGTCGCTGCCCGGTGTAGTGTTACCTTCCTCCGGGCACCATGGGCTCGTAAGATGCCTTCGCTGTGGAAACGGATAACCTTCTCGGCGGCCTCGGTGCTCTGCGTCGGCTCGGTGGTGCTGCTGGTCGTGGCTCTGTCCACGGAGCGCTGGGTCGCAGGACGGATCCTGTGCAAAACCGGGGCGGAGATAGTAAACGCTTCCCACCCGGAGCTGGAGCAGTTCATCGGGGACATTTACTACGGTTTGTTCCAGGGAGGCAAGACCAAGAAGTGCGGGCTTGGCAACAGGCGCTCCAAAATATACAGTAAGATCAAAAACAACCTGTAGTGTGGTGTGGTTAAGTGTGTTTATTCATTTTTTTAGAAGAAACGCTACTTTTATTATGATGTAAATACACTATTATTTGTCCAACATGTCTTATCGTTTTTATAATGTTGCCTTTTTATATTGGGTGCTTAATTTGGGGTATTTTATTTCCATTTCAACTTCTGTTATTATATTTGTCTGATTTTACTTTATTGCTGTCCTGAATTTTATTCCTGTTTCAACCATGAAGCATAAAACACTTTGTCTCTAGACTCTTTGCTGTATTATTATTATTATTATTATTATTATTATTATTATTATTATTATTATTGTTATTATTATTAGTTAAAGTTCACCCAAAATGTTGTATGATATCGATAAGAATAGAAACACACATTTATTTATTGAAATATTAAAAAAATACACATCAAATATACAATTGTACTATGCTTTTGGGAACTAATACTGTAAAATAAAGTAAAACTAGTATTTAAAGTGTATTGATTATGTTAATACACATGCATTACCTCCTGCATCAACAGCAATAATACCCTTAGTTATACACCTGCACAGAAACAGAGAAATACCTCATTCACACCTTTTCACTCACTTTCATCATGACAAGCTCAGCTCACTCATCTGATAAAGTTGGTTTTTATCTGTGTTTCCTGTCTCTGCAGTTTTCCCAAATCTGGTGCGGACATTGAACAGCGGCCTCCACATGATGGTGATCCTCTTCCTGCTGGTGGCTGTGGGCTTTGCTCTGGTCAGTCTGTCTTTCTGCATATACAACGCACGAAAAGTTCCCTACCAGAGCATCAAAGGGCACAAAGGACTCTACTTGTGGAACTTCATTGCCGGTATGTATGTGAGGAAAGCCTATTCCTATCTCTCAAAGAAAACCCTTTAATTATTAGTTTATTTCTTTGGCTGCTGATTTCCACCCTCATTTCTTCAATTTTTTATTTGGCCCACTTTGTGTTATTCGTCCAGTTAAAACGCCTTTCTCTCTTCTGTCATGTTCATAAGGGTAGAAGGACCTGAAATTGTCCGAGCTGATTACTAAGGGGTGATTTGAGTCAATTTTGAGGGGAAAAAAGAGAAGATTCAAAGTGATTGCTTCTACGTCTTTTTATCAAAACCGCTTATGAAAATGATAGCTGTTTGTGTATTAAAACTCTTTTTGTATTGCCTAAGCTGGAAAGTGTGCTAGTACAAAGTCTAACAGTGTGTCCGTTTCTTTAGTTTCAGGGTTTTTCTGCAAAAGAAAAGCTTGTGCTGCCCTCTTGGCCAGGTCACTTTAAAAAAAAAGGTTAAATGTAACATTTATATGGATATTTTCTTTCAGCTTTCTTTGCTTCCCTGGGCCTCCTGTGTTTCCTGGCAGCTGTGAAGCACCACAGTCTGACGGAGCGAGTAGCCAATCATCGGGAGAACCTCTTCGTGCTGGATGTGCTGGACGACAGCCTGGACTGGTCCTTCTGGCTGGGTGTGGGCAGCATTGCCACTCACTTTGCCGTATGTGGAGTGGTTGCAATGAGCCGGATCAAACTGCCCAAACCAGAGATTAAGAAACCTGAAGAACCCACCATCTCTTCTCTGGACCTGCTTTACTGAGGGACTGAGAGAGGAGCATTTACTGGTGGTTACTGGAGCAAAACACAATGACTGACAGTAAAACCAACCCTGTGGACAGTGCTACTCAGACTTAATGAATGCACAAATTCCTGCAGCCCAATCATTCTTTTGCATTCTGGACATCCTTTATAACTGCACAATGTAAATAAATCATTATTATTGTCATTATATGTATAGCATGTCATTAACTGTGTTTTCCAGTCACTTTAATCATTTTCAAATCAGTTTTTACAGTATTATTCTATAGAAAGCATAAAGTATGCATGCATAATGGGGAGTTTTGGTTTTATGTAATAAATCAAATCCAAAGAACATTGCTAAGAATGATCCTTTGATTTGATTTGTCTGTTATGAAGTGAATTCACAAACTGTTAGAAAAAAGTCATTACACCTGTTAGATTAGTTATAAAGTCTTGGATACTAAAAACTTGTGACAAACAGAAATTTAAAGTAGACATCCATTAAATAATAACCTGGAGTATGTGTTTCATCTTATTGTCTATGTGTGTTTTATTGTTGTTATTATCTTCCCATGATCTGAAGCTTTGTATTTAAATGTTTTATTTGTTTTCTAAAGTAATATAATTATTTCAATCAATCATAAAGCACAACTTTACAGATAACAAAGTTGTCTCGGGTTGGTTTTACAATCTGTACATCATACGATATCCTCTGTATTTATATCCTTACGGCACAAAAGGAAAACACAGCAATATTACTAATATATTCAATTTTATTTTCACAAAACTTGCAATAATTATGTTTTAAGCCAGTAAGGATTTCTTAGTGGGGGTGCCAAATCCCGCAGCACCAACGCCTGGTCTGCCACATGTGGAAGCCCCTCTCTAGTTTTTCACCTGCTGAGTCCAGAGTAAAATGCTTTTGTGTGCACAAACTATAGTGAACAGCAAACACCAGTGTGATTTTGGTGAGAGTACGACCACCCTGGATAAAGTTATAGTGGGGGTGCAAAACCAGGCAGCTGCACCACCTGTTCTGCTGAACATGGGCTGTAGAGAAACCGTGCAGATCTTCCCTATTGACACCAGGATTAACCTTGTCGGAAAAAAAGAACATTAACATTGTGAGAGAGGCACAGATACAATAACAATAATACATTTTATTTGAGGCCACCTTTCAAAACATTCAATGTCACTTTACAATACACAAATAAATAAAATACGAGTGGCATTACAATACAAAAATGTATTGCATAGAAAACCACAGGAAAATTATATTCTGGAGCAATTCAAGTGAGTCAAAACAGTGTTTCACAAATTATTCGTTAGGCTTGATTTAAAAAAACACAGTGTCTGACTATATCATATATGTGATATCATTACTTGTAATTTTTTACGTATTTTGTATTCGTGGTTATCAAGTGTCAGACACTTGAACAACAGAGAATGTTTTTATAAAATAGTAGGCCTACTATACTGACAAAACACATCTTATCCTTTCACCATGTATTCTGTAATAAAACATAAAAACCCAGAAGTTTATTCCAATACAAAAGATTTTCCAGATTTGTAAATGTTCCTTAAGTTGAGCCTCCTCGCAATTGTATGCACATTATTTATTCAGCCGTTTGCTGTTTAATCTACGGCTTTAGTGCTGCAAAGCGGGAGCAATGTTTTTCTTTTTACATGTTCTATTAAAAGTACTTACATGTCCAAATTGCACATCTTGACACTAAACCAGTGTTGTTTATGACATTTATAAGTTATACTTTTAAAAAGTGCTGGGGACCAAATTGGCCATTTCAAAAAGTGGAAATGGCCCAGCGCAAATGACGCCCATGATGAAAATAGATGAGTGAAGGTTTATGCCGCTGTTTAACAGTTTATTTAAAACTTCCTGCTGCTCATCGCTTCTGCCGCCAGGTGGGGACAAATTCCCTCTTTGTTCTAGTTCGTGACGTTTGAAAACCGCGACGCTGTCAGGTCGAGATTGCCTTTTCCACATGCATGCGACCTCTACATCTCTGTATTAATATATTTTCTGGCTTTATATATGAACAACAGATAACAATGCTTCTCTTGAGGAGGACCGTGCAGGCGGGGAAACACGGGAGGTCGTTTTCTGCGTCACAGACTCTCCTGAGCGAGAGAAAGGTGAGTATCTGTCCAACATTAGCTGACAGTTACATCAGTTTCTAACACAGGACTTATCTCCATTTCATACTGTCTGCTTAACCCATTCAGATGTGTGTGTGTTTTGATTATGTATTTATTTGTAAGAGCATCAGTGTGTGGATGTGTGTCAAAAACGCTCAAAACTTTGTTTATTTACTAGTTACTTCATTTACTATCCTCTAAAAATATTTTATGAGCTTCGAATATATTGCAAATATCCATGGTTTAAACTGAAGACGGAGCATCTTTGTTTATATTTCACATTATAGGCAATTCAAAGTGATTTATATTATTGGCAAAAAGTAGAAGTAAAACAATAAACAACCAATAGATAAAATATGCAAAATTAAGTATATCAAATACAACCACATATATGTACTTATAGTAATGTTTACTCAAATGTTTCACTAATAAATAAATCTTCCGAAGGTACAAGTATCAACACCTAACAAATTATACTGGCAGTCTCCTTTACCGTTAATAACTTTAATGTTTTTATATGTTTGGATTGCCACAACAACGCAAAAGGGGAATTACTAGCTATAACTTTAAGAACCAGAGCTATTGATATGTTGATCGACAGTGATAAAGACCATTTGATTGGACTGATGTGGTTCCTTATTGTGTTTGTGTGTGTCTGCAGGGTCTGGTGCTGGGAGTGTTTGAGAAGGAGGGAGAGGAGGGTGGCCTTTATCTGACAGAAGCAGCTGCAGGTTTTGACCAAACCCTGTCCGGAAAACTCTCTGAACTGCTTAAAATGTGAGTTTTTAATATCTGTGAGCTGACAGAATTAGTCTAGTTATGTGACAATTACATTATACATGTAATGGTCTGATACAAAATACAAATATACGTCATGTAAAATGAGGTAGTGCAATAGCAACAGTAAAAGTGTGTGGGTAACACTGTACCTCTATTTTTGGCAAAAGTAACTGTTTCTGTTTTTTATTCCTAGCTCTGGACCCACTCTTAAGCAAGGCAAAAGCAGAATATTCTATGGAATCCACAAGGTAAGAAAGCATGGAAGTAGATTAAGAAAACCCTGTCTTTTTCTGCAAAATCTACTCTAGAGTAACACAATCATCCTTGTGTCTTCTTCAGGACTTCCCATGTGTGGCAGTAGTCGGGCTGGGTAAAACCACTGCCGGTGTGTGTGGATCAGAGAACTGGGACACCAGCAAGGAGAACATCAGACAGGCAATGTCAGGTAAGACACGTGACTCTGCTGCCATGTGCTGACTACATGGAGGATTTACTGCCTGACTCATGTGTGCGTGTGTGTGTGTGTGTGTGCGTGTGTGTGTGTGCGTGTGTGTGTGTGTGTTCAGCTGGCTGCCGGCTGCTTCAGGACCTGGAGGTGAAGCATGTGGAGGTGGACGGCTGCGGGGATGCCCAGTCCGCAGCAGAAGGCGCCGGTCTGGGTTTGTTCCAGTATGACCAACTCAAATCCAAGAAGAAGAACAAAGTAAACCACACAGCTTCATGGAAGGTAGACTAATAAATGGCTGTAGCAGATTGCTAGGGCAAACTGACTGTTATTGATAGAAATATGACAGTTTAGTTATTTCAGATGAATGCGGCATTATGCCAATACATATATCTGTTTGTATTTGTTTTCAGTGCTGACTCGGCCGATTGGCAGAAAGGAGTCACGTACGCAGAAGGCCAAAACCTGGCACGGATGCTCATGGAGGCTCCAGCCAATCACATTACTCCAACAGCTTTTGCCAACATCATTGAGGAAAAACTAGCACCGCATGCTGAACGAGTCACAATACATAAGAGGTTCGTCATTCATCATTAATGTAGTGTCACAATGATGACAGAAATAATCAACAGAGTATTTTGATTCGTCAATCTACAGGTGAAACATTCTTTGGATTTATTGCTAAGTCAGAGGACAAAACATTTAAAGGCTTCTATTTTGATAATCGATTCAAACCAACACACTACACCTCTAGTTCCTGTTCTCAATTGTAAAGATTTTCTGCTTTATTCTTTATTATATCATAGTATTTGGAATGTCTTTTGGGTGTTGGTGTTTGTTGTATTTCAAGATGTTTTGGCTTAAAGAAACAGTTTTGTTGAGACCAACCAAATGATTGTAAACCAGAAAAGAAATACAATTATATGGACAACTCTTTTTATCTGATGATTGATTTTTTTTTATACCATTAAAAGTTGTTATGTCTGATAACTCGTGTGTTTCTGTAGATCTCAGGCTTGGATAGAGCAGCAACAGATGGGAGCGTTTCTCAGTGTGTCTCGAGGTTCAGAAGAGCCCCCTGTCTTCCTGGAGCTGCACTACAACGGCTCTCCGGACAGCAAGCAGGCCCCGCTGCTCCTAGTGGGCAAGGGCATCACCTTTGACAGGTTAACCATAACAAAACAAACTCCAGCTCAGTAGCCCATCAAAACAGAAAAAAACCTTCACATTAATGTTGTCTTTTTCCTTCTCTGTTTGCAGTGGTGGCATTTCCCTGAAGCCGTCTCCTTCTATGGATGAAATGAGAGCTGATATGGGGGGAGCAGCCACCGTGTGTGCCTCTATCGTCACAGCAGCAGCTCTGAAGCTGCCCGTCAATATTATTGGTGAGCCTTTTAATTATATGCATCCTCCAATATATTTTTCTATCATAGATCATGATTGAAACATGTATTTAATTAATAACGGCCCGTCCACACGGCGGCGTGCGTTGAAGCTTCAACACTTCTGCCCATTCACTTTGAATGGGGTGACGTCACGCTTTGCCAAACTGCATTGTGGTTCCGTCGCTTCGCTTTGCTCGCGTTGCTCGCTTCAAAAGTTGAGCAATGTTCAACTTTTGAAGCTTAGACGGAAGCGTCAGCCAATCAAATCATATGCCAGTACAAGCTCTAGCCAATCAAACCGTCAAACCGTGTCCGGGGCGGCAGATTCATGTGATTGGTTGTTGGTCGAGTTTCAGACACGCCCACCGGCAAGATTCAACGCACGCCGCCGTGTGGACGCTGCGTAAGCCTCCCCATGCCTGCCGAAGTGGATTTTAAAAAATATTTTACTAACTTTGAATCAATTTGAATGCACCATTTTTTGATTGAACATGAAAAGAACCTATGTAATGTTTAAATGAAGAGTCAAAGAAAATATCTGGACACTGAAATTCCTTCAAACTTTTTTAACCGTGCAACATTTTGATCCAACAGAGATTTTGGTCATGTCATGGTTTCATAATGCCTAAAAAAGATCTCTCTAAAGGGTTTAGATTGTTTTTGTCTGATTCTTGTCTTGTCCTACAACATGTTAATCTTATTCTTTAATCAAAACAATCTGTCTGTTTTCCCCTTTGACAATAAATCAGGTC